TTCTATCAGAATACGATGCAATCGGATACGAGCAGTTTACATAAGCGCAAAAGTGTAATTTCTAGTCAATCCACCGGTAGCAGCAATGATGTAAGTGTATTTTATTTTTGTTTTTAAGCGCAATTATCTTCAGGTTAGAATGTAAATATTCTTTACTTTTTTAGCAACAACCGCTCACATTTACACAGCAATTGCAACGTCAAACTAAATTAAACTCTCGCAATAATCCTTTTGTGCAAAACGCGCCAATCATCAATGCTAAAAATAGTGCTTCAGCAGCGCATAAAGGTGCACATGGACACCACTCTCAAAGACATTCGCAGATGTTACCCAATTTAAATGAGCATCATTTGGGTAAGTAATTCAACTAAACTGAGCATATGAACATATCTAATATAAACATATGAGAACTATATGGCTATAAGACTTATTAATTATTCACATGTTCGGGTATCTACTATATCTATAGTTTACCATTAGGTCTGTTGAATGCTCGTTTAGCAGAAGTCATTTATATATTTTTTTAGTCATTGCTTATTTAAACTCTATTTAAATGGGCTTCAAAATCAATTACGTCTTTTGCGATTAAATAAACTTTTCTTTTATATTATAGCATCAAATATAGGAACAAATGAAGCTGATCTCTACGACATGGAATGCATGTCGCCTTTGTATGCTACACCTCCACACTCACCCAGTAGTGAGCTCAGTTCACCAGGTCAGTTACCATCAATAAATGTTTTTGATGAGATTGCTGGGGCTTCTGGCAGTAATCATAGCAACGCAATTGGTGCAACCAGCAGCAATTCAGGTGGCAAGTCTGTTTTACCAGATAATCACTTCGCGCGTGACACACACATGCGCATAATCTTGGGAAATCTTAAAGAGAATCAATCAAGTTCATCAAGGTAATTATTTTTATTTTTCAAAAATATTATTTTATTTACTATATTGAATTTTTTAGCAAAAATAAACGTAGCGGCATTACTACAAATCCAGCAATGCGTCTTATTCGTAGTCGGTTTGATTCAGCAGCACAATTGATTCGACGAACCAATAATATGCTATCTTCAAATAGTAATCAGGGGTCTTCAAGTATTGGCGTAAAATCGGGAACATTTCAATGGCGTAAAGAAAGTCAAATGTAATTTAAAATTTTATATGTAAATATGTTTTCTTTATGCTATCATTTTCATTTAATTAAATTTTTTTAATGTTAATTGTTTGGTTTTAAAACAATTTTATTTGTTTAGTTATTGTATTAAATTTAATTATTGTATTATTGTATTTGTTATAATTTTACCTTTATGTGTTTAGTATTGTATTAATTTTTTATTTACTATTTTTTATTTGTGATTTTAATTATAGTTAATTTTTAATGTACCTTATAATTTATGTCGAAGGAATCGCTTTCAAATAACTTAATGGTATTAACATTGTAACAGTTTACATGAAATATTAAAAAAAAGTATTTTTATTTAATAACAAAACCAGTTGCAAAAGAATATTAAATTAAATTATTAAAAATTATATTAATATATAATAATTAGAAAAAGACCAAACTTTAATAAGTTAAAAAACCAAACCACAAAACTTAATCACACAAAAAGAAATGCATTAAAATCATGCAAATAAATAAAACAGCACACAAAATTAATTAAATTTTAATAATTTGTATTCATTAATTAAATAATTAAAATTTAAAAATAAAAAATTATATTTATTAACGGCCAGAATAAATAAATAATAAAAAAAATAATTGAAACTTTTAGGCAATATAGATCTTAATTTAAATTGAATGTTTGATACTTTGTTCAATTATATCCAATAAGTAAAAAAAAAATATTTTATAATTAAATATTTATTAATTTAAATTTAGTTTTTAGTTAAAAATTTTTTCATATTTAAGAAAAATTTTATAATTCTTAATTATGTTAATTAAAGTACTGACCCTTATGCTAATATAATATAATTTATTTTATAATATACCAGTATACATACTTACTTATAATAATACTAATGTTAACACTAAATTATTTAATTTAATTATATTAAATAATATATTTAAAAATTTATGTACTAAAATTATAATTATTATATTTATACCTTTTCGTACATATAGAATTATACACTGTAAAACACTTATATGCAAACACATAGCTACATAACAAATAAAACTGAATTCAAAACATTTTATTTTTGATTTTAAATGAAATATTGTGTCAACATTTTTTTTGTTTTTTAATAAAGATTTTTTTATGCTTTGATAAGAATAGTCAAAGTGAATAGTAAAGTAATTAATTATTATCCGAATGAAACCTTGGGCTGACCATATAGCTGTTTTAGATATCGCGAAATAACCAACTTTAGTGGTATTTGGAAATAATATTGTTTTAATTATTCAAATTTTTTTTTTAATTTTTCTTTATATCAAAATACGACAATGAACCCAAATAAACAAAACACAAAAGAAGACATAATTATTTAATATTAATTTGAGTTGTGCTTTTTTATTATTCTACAAGTCTAGTCTAATCGCTGTTATTAGAACTGCAAACAAAATTTTTATTTGCTCTTTCATTTATAAATATTACGTTAGATATTTAGGTTTAGTTAACATAAATCTAAATTATTTTTTATAAAAATCTTGTTTTATTTTGAATTATTTACAACTTTAAAAAATGTGTGTTTTAAATACAGAAGTATTAAAATGCTTTCCATGTAATGAAATGTTTTTATATATTATTTTATAAATCGAAGAGCTTCATTTTTAATATTTAATTAAAAACAAATTTTTAAGATTAATACAAAATGTTTTTAAGAATTATTAATCCCGATTTTAAAGCTTCATTTTTGATATTTAAAAAAGATTTTGGAAGACTAATTCAAAATGTTTTTCAAAATTATTAATCCTGATCTAAAAGCTTCATTTTTGATATTTAATTAAAACAAAGTTTTGAGATTAATACAAAATGTTTTTCAGAGTTATTAATTCCTGATTTAAAAGCTTCATTTTTGATTTTCAAAAAAAAAATTTTTTTGAGAATAATTCAAATTGTTTTTAAGAGTTATTAATCCTGGAGTGACTTCCTATTAAGGTTGAAGTAAGAAATCTTCATTAAATGTTTTTTAAACTTTTATGAATTCACTTTAAACTAAAATTTTTAATACATTAATTTTTTAAAACTATTCTTTTTAAATTAAAAATGTAATTATTTTTTCATTTAATTGTTTGTTATCACTTGTCTAATTGTTTTTTCTATAATTCTTCTAAGTGTAGACTTTATTAAGATATATGTATGTAATTTTTAATTAAAATTAAACTTCACACAATTATTTATATACAATATTTCGGAAAAATGAACTAAACAAGTTTAATTTAAAAATCGCAAATATTTTTTGAAGCACACATATTCAAAATTATTAAATTCTGCAAAATTATAGTCAAGAATAATACGAAAAACTGAACAAACTAATCACATTTTTACCTCTATTTTAAAAACGAAGTAAAAATCGCAAAACAGTATTTATTTTTATTAAAATATTCATCAAATCGTAACATTTTACATATATTAATTCTAACAAAAAGTGAAAAGATATTAGTTGATAAGTAAAATATGTTAGAACATTATTAACTGAAGGCAAAACTAAATTAATTGTTATCAAGATCTTACTGAGGAAAAAAAACAGAAAAATTGAAAAAAAAAATTCAAATTAAATTATATAAAAAATATTTAAATAATAAATGTATTTACAATTTACAAAGTTATGCAGGAATATATACGAAACAAAGGATAAAACTATTAAAGTGAAAGTATAGAAAGTAGATTTAAATGAGTTCAAAAATTAATTTAAAATTAAGAGTTCTTAAAGAAAAATCTTAAAAAAACTTATAACTGATACAGGAAATTTACAGCAATTCTGAGTGTGTTAAAATTTATTTGATTGAAATTTCAAAAATAATATAATATAAATAAACCACAAATGAACTTAATAAAATTACATTAAATGCATGAATACAAAAAATAAATAAATTGTGTTTCTGTTTAGTCACATGTGGTCAGAAAAACTAAAGAATTATGATACAGACCTACCCGATTTATGGTACCAATAGAGACTTTGAGATAAGTCTCTATTCTAAATGATAACATCTTCTTGACACGTTTGCTTTAATATGTAATGACTTATGTACACATAGCTATCCATAACTTATTGAATGTTTATGTGTAGTGTCGAATATGATATCCATTTAGCGAAAAATTCATCCCATCACTACACAAAATTCGAAACAGTGGATTTATTAGAGAATTCCACCTCATTGGCTCGTCGTTCATCTGTTCTCTTATTCCACTGCACATGCTAATTTAAGCCCAATCGACATTTGGGCTTATCCCTATATACACCATAATACACCATAATTATACACCATAATTGCCCAGAGGGTCAACCAAGCCAGGTTCAATTCCCTTAGTGCCAAACTTCGGGCCACCCAGTGCCGGCCTGACGTCTTCAGCACGATCAGGCAAATCTGCGGATCAAATAGGTCCATTTCTGATCTCCGCTATGGCAACACCATAGCATATGATGACTTCGATAAAGCCAACGTCTTTGGTCTTTGTGACTAATCACCGTCTTACGGCTGGCCTAGGCGAGCGCCACTTTATGTCCACTACAAATTCTGTAGTGCATGGGCTTTTTGATGCTTTTAATGAAAGCATTGTTACTTTCTCCCCGCAGTTTCCCGCTCACTGCATCAATGTTGAAGACACTCAAGGGTTTCTCACCCCAATTGATCTTACTAACATACTTCGGCTTAAAGCCCCTAAAAAGTCATCTGGCACTGATTGCGTGTCTTTTTACGCTATGAGGCGTTTCTCACCACTCTTTTTTAAAAAGTGCGCCATGCTCTTCAACCATGCGTACAACACTGGTTCCTTCCCCCAGCCATGGAGGAAGGCCATAGTTTGTCCCATTGCCAAGAGTGGCAAACCTAAATGTGACCCCTTCAGCTATCGTCCCATTTCTCTCCTCAACTCCGTCAGTAAGCTCTATGAGACTTTCATAGCAAGCAAGCTGAAGTCCTTCTCCTCAAGGAATAATATTATTCCTTCTTATCAGTTTGGCTTCAGAAGCCAAACCTCCACTCTTCATGCCCTGCATCATCTCCAAAATGAGATATGCATAGGCTTTTTCAATAAGCAGCCCACTGTGGCATTAAGTCTTGACATTGAAAAAGCCTTTGATACTGTCTGGTTTGAAGGTTTAATTTTAAAGCTTCACCAGTTCGGCTTCTCCCCTGCGCTCTGTAGTGTGGTCCACAATTTTCTGTCTAGCAGAACCTTTCAGGTTCGAGTCGGTTCCTCTCTGTCTCGAGATTTCCCCATCGACGCCGGTGTCCCTCAGGGCTCGGTTCTTGGACCCCTTCTTTTTAACCTGTTTATAGCAGACATTCCTCTTCCGCGGGCCCCTGTTAAGCAAATCTGCTTCGCCGATGACTGCCTTGTCTTCATGCGGTCATCTAATCCTCACCGCCTTTCCAATGAGCTTAATACCCACCTTGGAGCCCTCTTCGACTATTACACCAAGTGGAAGATTAAACTCAATCCCTCTAAGATCTCTGCCATTGCCTTTCTTGGCCAGCAGCGTGATCGTCCTAGAGGTTTTAGCACCTCTAATATTCAGCTCAGGCTCAACAATTCTCCAATTCAGCTTGTCCCCAAGCTGAAATATCTTGGTATTGTCTTCTCATCTCAACACAATTTTATATCACATGTTGACTATGCCATCCGTAACGCCCGGTTCAGGCACACTCAACTCAAAACTGCACTTCGAAGACACAACCAGCTTAACTGTAAAGTTAAGCTACTCTGCTATAAGCAGCTTATTCGTCCTCTCCTCACTTATGCCTTTCCTATTTGGTCTGCCATCACCTCTGCTCAGATGGAAAGAATCCGCCTGTTTGAGCGGAAACTTCTCCGTGATTGCACCAACTATAAACGCAAGCCCAACGGCAAGCACTTTCCTATCTCCACTCTGTACCACAATGCCAAGATTACTCGTATTGATGAGTACCTTTTGACACTTGCCCGTAGGTATCTCACCCGGCTCCACGACCTCCCTCCTGATGTCTCTTGTCCAGATACCCTCCCAGTAGACCTTGTTCTAG